CCACCCTCAGCTCTGTGCCTCGGTGACAGCCCCAGGGTGTGACCATGGCATGGGACCTGTGACTTGCTGCAGGGACATCTCTGTGCACCACAGAAAGAGATGGGACTGGTACAATTTCATGAAACAAAACCATCCTCAAGTGCAGAAGTGCAAGGCTCAGAGGGAAGGACAGGCAGTTTAAGATAGGCCATGTAAAAAACCACCTTTCCTCCCAGCCCCAGATCAATGATTTTATAAGTGTGAGGCTGCTTTAGTTCACCTGTTCATTCATTGCATATTTTTCTAAAAATTTAAAATTCCTGCCTGGTTTTCCACCTCTGTCCCTCCTTTTTAGGTTAACACACACAAACATCACCCTCACCCCTCCTGGAGGAGCATGCTTGACTCATCATTATTGTCCAGCCAGATTTATGGCTCTAAAACCTACTTGTTAAAAAGCTGAAAGTCATTTTTATTTACTGGCCTCTGCCTCTTTTATAAGCTGCATGCACTTCTTGGAGCATTTTATCCTCTCAATTCCCCACTCTACAGCTGAAGAAAGATTTTACCAACACCCCACCCTGTGTGTGTGGGGCAGCACAGTTTGTTTAACTTCTGAGAATTCCAGGTCCTCCTGAGTTTTCATCCATCACCTCAGGACCCAGGGAGGAAAATCGTGCTGGGAGTTAAGGGCTGCAAGAGGAGGAGACCGAGGAAATTCAGACAAAAGGTAAGATGGGGCTGAAGTGCAGGGGCTGTGTTTGGCTTTAAATTCCTGCAGGCTGCAGCTCCCGGGGAACAAAGGAATGCAGGATATCAGCACTCAGCCCCTGAGGAGCAGATGGTGCTGCTGCCATCAGCACAGCTCATTGTTCCTCACCTCCTCTCTGCCCCGGCCACATTCTCCTCCCCAGCATCTGCACCCTCTGCTTGCTTTGGTTTTTCTTCCAGCTCCTTCCCCAGACATCCCTTGGGAGGGTCTCTTTTCCCAGCTGGTCCCTCTGGTGTTGGAGAACTTCCTGCAGTTTATTCATCCTCTGCAGCAGAGAGCCTGCCTTGTCTGCTGCCACATGGGCTCATTATTTTAGGGTCATTATTCTGACTATTTTGAATTTCCACCTTGTTCCTGTGCCTTTGGAGCATTAGGGAATGGTTGCATTATCTCATCCAGCTGTTCTGTGGGGACTGACCCCTACCTGAGCTCAAAAATAATGAGAGATTTCATGAGATTCTGTCCAGAGGATGGGATCACACTTGAAAATGTCATTGTCTCGTTGCCTCTCACAGGACAGACCAAGCCAAACCTCGCTACACTCGTCCCAAATTATCCTTCCTTCCCCACAGCCCACAGAAGGGAGGGGATGGCTGGGAGCAGGATAATCTAAGAAAAACATAAACCAGAAGCAAAGAAACTGAAATAGCCACTGGATCCTTCAGCACAGGAACTGCTGGAGCCTGTCCCACCTGCTGCCCCATGAAGTTGGATCACCAAGCTCCTGTGCTTGGTTTCTCCATTTGCAAAGTGCACTGTTTGCAGAAAAAACAGAGCTTCTGTCTGTCCCTGCACAGGGCTGTCATCCAAAATACACAACAGCTTCAGAACAAAACCTGTGACCCCTTCCCTCCTCATGACAGGCTGGGAAAATCCTGATTTAAGCCTTAAAACCTGGTGTTGTTGTTCAAGGATGCACCAGGAGGTCCCATGGGTGTTCTGGACACAGTTTTGCTCCTGTTTCCCACCACCTATAACAGCTGGAAATCCCACGAGAGCAGCATCTGGATTTTCCAAACAATTCCTTGTGAAGGGAGATGAACCAGGGGAAAGCAACCCCCTCCCCAGAGAAAAGGGAATGGAAACAGCCTCTGGCAAAGCTCCTGCAAGAGGGAAGCAGGAGAATCTGGGGATGCTGGAGCTCGCTGCTGTCCGTGGACAGAGCTCTGGGATGAATTTCTGGAGTGAGTGTTCACACAAACGCTGACACTGAAGCCTCCAATTGTGTTTTCCCTGGACAAACCCAGCACATGACCCTGCTTGCCTCCTCAGCTCCCTGATCAAACCAATGCTGGGAACAACCTCGTGTCTAAAACAAACAACATTTCAGGGCAAACCTTCTGTTTACAGACACAGAGAGGAGATTTTCAGCAGTGAAAACACAGAAACTGCTTGTCCAGTTTATCAGCCACAAATTTGTTCCTTAACAATGAAAGAGTGAGTTGGGAGGGGGAATAAATAAATCAGAACACTTAGAAAATTCAACCTACAGTGGGCAGGGAGTCCTAAGGAAGAAAGTTATGGCCAGACCTGTGTAGAAGTTTGAATTCTTCAGTCAATTCAGTCAGCTGTGCAATTACTCCTTCCCTTCCCTTCCCTTCCCTTCCCTTCCCTTCCCTTCCCCTCTCTTCTCTTCCCTTCCCCCTTTTCCTTTTCCTTTTCTTTTTCCTTTTCCTTTTCTATTTCCTTTCCCCTTCCCTTTCTCAGCAGACAGCAGGAGGGTAGATCCCACCTGGACAAACTCACCCTGTGTGCAGAATTCAGATTTTAATCAGAACAGGCTCTGTAAAGAGGAACCTGGAAGGTGAAGGGCACCGTGCTGGAGCAAACAGGAGCAATCAAGGTAATTAAGTGTTTTGGTACCACCTGATTTGCATCTAAGGAAGAATTTTGTTTTTTTTTTTACTGTGAGGATGGAGAGACAGAGCAGCTGTGGCTGCCCCATCCTGGAAATGTCCCAGGCCAGGCTGGAGCAGCCTGGTGTGACAGACGAGGAATGCCATGCTTGACTCTCACAATGAAAAGGCAAATTTCATGTATATACGTTAAGTTTAATAGATTTATAGTTATGTTTTACACCCCTTGTGGTGTTATTATGGGGTGGCCTGGGTTTGGGATATTTGGGAGGATCAGCTTGTTACTATGGCAACAGCTGACCTGCTGTCAAAGTGATCTCCAGCACTGGACAGAGAAGGAGGAGTTGGTGGACAGAATTTTGGGAGGGACTAAAGGGTTAAAAGGTGAAACCTCCATTGTGTAGGTGAGCACATGGTGGGGAAAATCCTCTGGCGCTACTGGACAACAAAATGAGCACACAGAAGCTCGGGAAGTTCAGAAGAGAGAAAAAAGCTCATTTTATTTCTGACCTCTCAATATATAGAGTTCCAAAAGTGGCAGTGGATTGGAGGGGGAAATCGCCACCTCTCCAACCACACTGTCAAACCAACAGCCCATCAATCCTTCACAAAAAGGAGAATGCAAAACAATCATTGTTTACATGAAGAGTGCATGAGAACTCCAGTAGAAATATGTAAATATCAGAAGGCATAGAAAACTTTTAAAAAACTTTAAAACTTTCAAAAGAACTACAAAAGAGAACTTAACGTTTTAAAAATCAGGGCAACAATCCTCTGCTCCTGGCACTGTATTATTTTCTTTCTTCAGTCTTCTGTTGTATTTTTGATATGGTTTTAATAAAACTTTTCAGTTTTTGGAAGTGAGTAATGAGCCAATGCTCCCAAATGTCCCAAACCCAGACCACCCCATGATAAAATCATAACTATGAGTCTATAAATCTTCTTTTTTGCCTTTTAATTGTGAGAGCCAACCATGGCATTACACATCCATCACAACTCCATGAAAACAGCTGAGTTTAGATATGGCCCACCCAGTGATTTATTTTCCAAAAGTCATCTGAAATCTTCATGGAAAGCCAAAGGAGCATCCCTGAGCTGCACAGGGGTGCAGGGATGGGTGCAGGGAT